TTGAGCCCTCTCCTTTCAGTGTGCTGGGCATGAACTGCTGTAGCTTCAGAGCTCCTTGGCACCTATCTGCTCTGCCAGCCCAAAGCTCATGTTCTCTCTCTCCCTTGTCCTGAAGGAAGTTCTGTGCTTTTACAGCAAAAAAAGTTTGAGCTGAGTGAGGGCTTGCTGAGGACCTCTATAGAGATCATCTTTAATGCATGCCTATGAAGGGAGAAGAAGGCGAGTTCCATTGCAGGCCGAGAATGTGGGCAGGAGGTTTGCATGTTGGGGTGTTTTATGTGGGGGGGGAAAATGAGGAAGAATGAGCTGGGTGTGCAGTTGTATAGGGAGCCAGTGATGCTTTTGAATAGGGACCAGGGAGGATGATTGGAGCAGCAATGTGACATTAAGGAGTCCTTAAGAGCAGACTGTCATAGCTGTGGTGGAAAAAGACATAACCTGAGCAGAGGTGGAACCTGAAGTGAACAAGGAGCAGCAAAAACATGAGAGTGTGAGGCACTTAGTGCCATGTATAGATGCCATTGCAAAGAGGCGCATATGCACGCGCTGTGGCCTGTCCGTGCTTGTTAATGGGAACTTCCATTCACTAACCCTTGAAAACTGTGGCCCAAATGCACCAGGTTTCACGTTCAGGAGTAGCTGATGTGGATTCCCATGCTGATCATGCTTCTGGGGCAGTTCAAGGACCTGGGCTTCCTGGTGAACAGAATGGGACTTGGAGACTGCTGAGGAATCTTGTTGTGACCTCAGGTGCCTTTAAAACATGAGATTTATGTGACTAAATATGAGGAAAAAGCTCTGTATAAACATACCATCTTTTAACCTGCCTGAAACCGAGCTTTAGGATGCAGTTTCTTTTGTACTTCGTGTTCTCGGATGTTAAACTGTGTTGTTGGCTTGAGTAATGGTGGTATTAACTGTACCATGGAGAGCACCTGAAGAGGCCGGTTCCTGTGGAAGCGTGGGATGTTTTGGGGGGTCAAACAATAAGCACGTTGTCTAGCAATATTGATATTGTAGCTGGGCCCTCAGTCATTTTAGATCTGCCTCACTGGCAAAGCTGTGGTCCAGTGCTGTTGTGAAGCTTTCATCACTTCAAAGCATTTTCTGGCAGTAAGCTCCCAGCAGAACCTGCCCCTCCTCCCCCCCCCCCACCAGAGCTTACTTCCATTAGTTTCCATGGTCAGAGTCCAACTCAACTGAGCTGAGTGAAGTCAACCAGTTGGCATAGCAAGAGTGGTAAGGAACCCTTCATGCAAACGTACACATGGAAGCGGGAGAGGAGATATGCGAAGGGGCCTGTTTCAGTATCCATTTTGGGTGTATCAGAGTGTAGAGAAAGGGCTTTCCTAAAGAACCAAATCTTAGCACTGGACAGTATCTGAATCTGTTTGGAGTTAGCACAGCTCAAGTGTGCTAGCTGAATGGACCAGAGAAACCATCTTCAAGTCAAAACAGAAAAAATAAATTGAAGACATGTTAATTTCGTTTCTTTTTGTCTCCAAGTATTAAATCTGATTCTTTAAGATTTGCATCTCATTAGGTAGACTCAGTTTGCCGTTACTTTAAAATCTGTGTTCAACATGATGCCAGACAGGCTGAAATCTCAGTCCTTCCAGTCCTCAAGAAGTAGCAAATTTTAAAGCAGGAATACTGTTTTGTGATTGAAGTGCCAAGCATAACAATACAGTAATAGGCTCTGAAGAACTGGAGGAGCTCTCTTCCACCAAGGCCTGGTTTGGAAGCTGGGCTAGCAAAGTACTAGCAGGGGAGTTTTTCCATTGGCAAGTGTTAGCAGAGCTTTTATAGCATGGACAAGAGCAGTGGGAAATCAGGTCTGGGATTTGGGGCTCTTCCAAATTGTGACAACATCATAACCTTTGGAGAGCAGGAGCACTTGCATCTGAGGACAGGCTTTAGAGAAGAGACTTCAGTGAACCTCCTTTTTGGCTTGTAAATTCCCCCCCCCCCCCGCTTCCTATAGGACTAATGCCTAAGTATGGGAAACTATGGAGTTTGTTTTCTGTGGAGCGGTGTTAATTTATGGATAACTTTAGTATTTGCTTTTATTTGTGAGTGACACACATGCACTATGGTGATAGGTGCAGAAATAACTCTGATAATGTTGTTTGTGAAGTATTAGAAAGGAGCTGAATTAGACAGGTAGCAGCACTTGGTCGAGTGTGGGTGGGTCTGTGCGTTCTGCCGGTCAGGATGCCAAATACCATAGTTAATTCAGACATTAATTTTCAGAATAAGGTTTATTTGTTACCTTATTAAAAAAAGAAAAGAGAAAGAAAGACAAGAGATGGTCCGCTTGGTTGCCAGCAACAGAAGTCCCAATCTAGCAGTGGTACTCTCTCTAGCCTGTGTTGGGGGATTGGGTTCCCCCTGTAAGGTGTGCTGCTCTGTGCGTAATTGCACGCTCTTTCCCGAGCTGAAAGTATCTTAACTTTGCCAACAGGGAACTAAGCCTCATGTTGGATTCCCATCACCAGCACCTGTTTGCCGTACTTAGCAGGGCTAGTTGTCCTCAGTCCTACCAGCTCCTTGGGGAGGAAGATGAATACCAAGGAGGTAGCAACAGGGAGTTCCTGGAAGTAACAGCTCCAATGTGTGTACTGAGAATATGGACACACATGTGGCACCTGAGCTGTCCAGGCTGCTGCTGTTTTGGATCTAGCAGAAGAAAAGTGAAGGGAAACGCTTTTCCTCGGAGATTTTTGACTAGAGAGGCACCATTGCACTAACAAAGAGATAGTTATGCAGCGATTCATGTAGAGGCTAACAGCAAAGGCAGAAAACAGTGTAGCTAAGTCGCATGAAACCTAAATGCTGAAGATAAGGAGGTGCAGTGAGAGACCCCAGGGGAAGGAGGAGGACAGCAGGATGATGCAGAGGTGATAGGCAGCAATGCCGTCATTTAAGCACAGTGCTCCTGCCTCAGCCCTGCCACCCAGTGGCTATGGTGAAGCAAGGACATCCAGGAGAGCTGAGTCAAGTGTGCTAATTCCCTCACCCCCTTGTGAGGTCAAGACTAAAACATCTCTGTTACTTTGGCTAGAGGTGGAAGTATCCTCGTAGGGGCTTAGTATGCTCAAGATGAACTGAAAGCACCTCTTTTTGACTGTGGGGACTCTTTTCAAACAGAGCATTTTTGTGTATGCTGCAGTGCCCTGCCTGTTCTTAGGTGTTAGGTAAAAAAGTAAGGAGTAATAGGATACTCAAAATACCAAATCATTGTGCAGAATTCTTGTGTTATGGAGAAGACATGCAATAGTTGCTGTCTGTGTGGCTCTGACAGCGCACACAGTTATGGCATATTTGCATGGCTTTGTAATACACATTTTAATATTGTGAAGGACTGTATCTCAAGAGCTATTCCTACTGAGGACTGAAGATCTGGTTATTGGGCATTATGTTTTACCAGTAGTCTTGTTTACTTGGTTTCCTCTTGCGGTTAGACCTGAGTAACTCTACTGATCATCTCTGCTCATTCTACCTGTTTGCAATGCAGTCTTAGGAAAGTGAGACAATAAGGATTTCCCCTGTGATTGTTGGTTGCCTCCTCAGTGTCATCCCATTGCCAAAAGGCCTTTTTGGTAACCTGCCAAAGGAGTTTCCTCATCTTTTCCTTGAGGCCTGCCTGATGGTTGGACAGAATATACAGCAGCCTCCAAGTTCACTGCATTTGTCCTGGGACAGATGTCGAGACTTGTCTGTGAACCTGCAATCTCTACCTCTGGGAGAAGCTGCTCTCTTTTTAACTGTTAAATTCATTTGAGTCCACTTCAGATCATGGGCAATCTTCAAATGAAAATGAATTTTATTCTGTGAAAGCCGTGAGGTTAAGTTATGATTACAAAGTTGGAAACGCAGCTATAAAGGAAAAACATAAGACAATGCAAATTTAAAATAGACCTGACATCAACCTTTTACTTTAGCTGTCATTCAGGGATTTGTTCAGGAGATTAAGAATTCAGTTCAGTGGAACCTTGCCAGTAAGGTATGTCTTCCTGAGCGGGAGGCTATCCCTGGGTGTATGTCTCCTACTTGTACTAGAAGGTTTTATAGCTGCTCTTGAAATTTCAAAGCAAGTCCCAAGAAACCCTGTATCTCTCCTCTAATTAAGGGGATCTCTTTGTGATGGGCTTGTTTTTAAGAACTTGTTATCTAGATAATGCTAAGGGAATACTTCTGATATCATTTGGGTTTTCACTCTGACAACAGGGACCCCGGGATGCTGACTCTTCTGTTTGTTTTCTTCTGTCTGGATGTCAAGTGAATTGCAATTCAGAGTGTTACACTGCAATGTTTTCCAAACTATGTATCAAAAGCTTATCACATTTGGGTGATGTGCAGCAGTTTCTCTTGATCTAATAGCGTTTTATAGACTACATGTAACACATTAATTCACAAGCTGTTCCAGAGACCACTGTGTTACAAAGAGTTATGAAAGTGTTGTGAGCCAGGATAACCTGAAAACATATGTAGCTGCTCTCCTTCTCCATTTCCATGGAAAAGGATGGTGCAGATAATTGTCCTTGTAACTGTTTGAGCTCAAGTGAGAGATGCGCCTCAACTAGTTTCTGCATAAAATAGGGGTAATAGCTGCGTACTCTGGATATGATGCATAAATGAGGGACATCCAGAAAAGCTGGTAATAATTCTCAGCTGTCTTTGTTCTCCTCTTGTGTTGCGCACACTTTTGTTCACTTGGATGCTTTAGGAATGATGACCCTTTTCTCAGTGGTTATTGGCAATGTAGTGGTCATGTCTGATGCATTTTAAAATGTCCCACATAGTCCAGATCTTTCTTACAGAGCCTGCTAGCATAAGGTGTGGGGGATCCAGTTGCAGGGAAGTAGGAAGTGACAGCTGACGCCAAACAGGTATTTGCTGGTGATGGTTTTTATAGCAGATTTCACGTGCTGCTAATCTGCTTTGGACCCCATATTCATGTTCAGGTGTAATAAGAGGTGCTCGTTTTTTGTCTGCAGCTCTTCAGTAGTTTGGATCCTGGCTACCTGAAAGGCATCCTTTTTCAGTCAGCAGTTGGTGAAGAGTTCAAGCTGTTAGTTCCCTGGTTTAATGAGGAGACTCCTGATGTGATTCTCGGTTAGAATTTCCTTGACTCTGAACTCATTTAATTTTCAGAGCACATTTCACACCTTCCTCTCTGTTTTTCCAAGCTCTGAGCAAGTAAAAGTAAGACTTAATGAATTGGGAGAATTTTGCTATGACATTGCAGTACCTTCATGTTTGGTGTGCCAGAGTGAAACAGCTCGCTCTTTCTGTCTGAACACGTGCTGTTCTCACAGTGACTTGTTTTGTCACCTTGGCCAAATTCTTTCCTTCCATTCTTTCCAAATGCTATCGATTCGCTGTTTTGTTTTCCCGACGTGCAGCGACATGAAGGTCATTGGAAGGCCCACTGAAGGCACGTGAAGGCCACTACGCTTTCTCCCTCCGTGACATGAAATCTTCCAAAGGCTTCTTGGGGTGCTTTCTTCCTCCAGACCATGCCTGATCCCAAACAGATTTTCTGTGCTCCACGCTTTCGTGTTTCCACTGACTTAACGCTTTGTGATGGGCTTTCTGGCCTTCCCTTTTTCGGGGAGCCCTCTTCATTGTTACTTACCTGTTTCTTTCTTCCCACAGTGCTGAGTATTGGCGAAGGTGGCTTTTGGGAAGGAACAGTGAAAGGCAGGACTGGCTGGTTCCCGGCAGAATGTGTTGAGGAGGTGCAGATGCGACAGTACGATCCGCGGCAAGGTAAGCTTTTTTTCTTGGCTCCAGGTGTCTCTCAGCAGATGCGCTCAACAGCTGTGACCATCCCCAGAAATTCAGAAGTACTGATTTTAAATTTATAGCAATCTCTGAGTTTGCCCATTTTTTGCATTGGGTGGTGGATGCATCTGATGATTGCTCAAGATGTTTATTTTACTGTATGCATTAATATCCAGCAGTAGACATGCTGATCATGGTAAGTGGAATATTGTCACAAGAAGAGTGATCATTAGACCCTTTTGCACACATTGTTGAAGTGACATGGGTCTTTAGCAGGTGACAGTGGGTGATGGAGCAAGAGAATGTGACTGTCGATCTTAATCAAACATTGTAGAAGCCTTCAAAAGAGAATAGTAGCTGGATCCTGAGTAATTTGCATGTATCTGTTCTAGTTCAACATAACATATTAAAAATGACTATGACTCAGCCCTGGCAGTCCTGACCCTCAGAATCTCCAGTGCCAGCAAAGCCATAATAAGTATTTGCTGTTCCTGAAGGACAGCAGCCCTCTGACAACTGTGTCCGGAGGAGCCGCTGATAGGAAGTACCAAGTGTGCAGCATTCTCAGAAGTCACCATGACTTCGTGGGGATACCTGCAGTTCTGGGTTGCATCACCACAGCTTGCCTCTTGTCAATGACAGCTGCCTGGGCAGATTTCCCCTCCCAGACTGAAAGAACTGTGTGGGAAACACACTTCTGGGATTCCTGAATTTGTCCAGCTAAAGCAACTGAAGAGAACATTTGTTTTTCTTGTTTTTGTTTTGTTTTTTGGGTTTTTTTTTAATGTATAACTTAGCAGAGGGAAGAGGTGGCCCTGATTTGACAGATTTAGTGGAGTACAATTTGCATAGATGAGCATATTTGCATTCTGATATTTGCATATTAGATTATATTCACACAAATGAATTTTGGTATGTGAAAGTTAGACTTTGATTATGAAGCTGGAAACAAAGTTGTGGAAGAAAAAACCAAATCAATAAAATGCAATTCTTAGTTATAATCAACAGCAAGTTTTAATTCGTTTCTGGAAGCCTGTCCGCCCTTAAAAAGTCTTTTCTTTGCTCTAATCCCAGTCCTTCCTGAGAGTTTTAGATGTAAGTGTATACACCTCTAGGTATCTCCTTACCCAGGAAGTTTGGATTACGTAAATGAGCTGCTAGCTCTGTGTGTGCTGTGATGGGTATGTGGCAGGTTGTGCTCCAGGGCACTTGCACATCAGTCGCTGCAGATAAAGTATTATATGCGTTTGGGACCTGGTCTTGTGGCTGTGGAAGGTGTAGCAGGAGCGCTGCCCCGTGAGTAGTGCTATGGAACATGCACACAGCAGTGTCTAAGCAGCAGAGCTTTTCTTCCCTCTATCTCTGAATTACTTCAGTTGCTAGCTTTCCCAAACCTGAGCTTCTAGCTTGTGTTCCCGATGCTCATTCGTATTCTTTGTTCAAAGTGTATCTCTATATGCTTCAGCTGGTTTCCGTTGTCACCTTTGCCTCTGCACTGTCCTGGCCAGAGGAGGTTCCTGACTGAGCTTGGTGTTACAAAACCTTGGCTTAGGTATCTGGCCGTACTCTGGGCCCCGGAGAAATGAAGCAAAAATGCTTCTGTTGCGCTGATGGGAAAGCCTTGATGTCAGCGAAGACTGGAGTGGGATATTCCTCCTTTTTGAGAGGCGGTTAGGGCCGAGAAGTTGGAACTTTCACTGAGGAGATTCCGGCTTCCTCCATCTCGTGCTGGCTTTGCAGCTGTATTCTTTAGCCTTTTCAATGTGCAGTGGCCATTTGCTCTGTCTTTTTGTGATGCTAAATCAGGAAGAGAGTAGACTAATTGGTGTCCCTAACTAATCAGCCCTTCCTGTATCTAGGCGTTCGTACTTGCTGTGTGCTGTCCTTGGAGGATGATACATGTCTGGGTTAAATTTAAGCCATGTGTAGTTAACCTCAGTGGAAAACAGATGGTGCTTAAACCCTACAGCCGGAGCGTAGGTGTGAACACTTTCATCCAATTGTCCATACTGTTGAATTGTTAGCTTGTTCCCTGGCATGGCTTTTACTTGTGCCAAATTTCACTTTTCCAGACAAAGCCTGGACACAGTTTTGAGCTAGAGTTTTTTTCCAGTAGGTAGTTTGGATAAGTCCATGATGTTTGCGCACAGATGAAAGTTTAGCTGTATGGACGTGATGTTGCTCTGCCGCTTGCCCTCGAGGCCAGAGAAGGAGAAGCATGTATTTTATGAGTTTAGGTATAGCCTAGCAGCTGATTGGGCTGTGCACTGATGGAAAGGTTTTGGCCTGACTATACTTTGGACTGACTATACTTGCTGGGGAGCAAAGCCAACCATATCCGACTTGCTAATCATCTCCAACTGTGTTTATAGATTCATGAGAGTAGTAGGGTAGCATGGCAGTTTATCTTGACTAGACTCATGTTGGAACAGATTGAAGGTGACTGTGACAAGGATGAGAGCAAATCAGGAAATTCATGTGATCTTCATTAGAATTCAGAGAAAGCAAGTTCCAGGGTTAGTATTTTGAAGATGATGTTAGGATGTTCCTTTAACTTGCAGGTATTTTTATTCTTTGAGGGGGAGAGGGCCACAAGTTATTGTTGACCTTGAAACCTAATTGGTTGTGCAAGTTGCTCAAATTTTGTCTTTCGTTCCCAGTGAATTCCCCAGTGTCCTCATATTGCTTTGATAGATTGTAAGAATAGGTTGAAAGATCTGCCAGGTAATCTGTCACAAAGAACACCTCTCGTATATCCAGAGATCAGTTTCTTTGTCATGGATCCTAACAAGAAATGCAAGGCTCTTGGCCCTAGAGCTGGCCTGTGTCGGAGCGCCCTGCCTGGTGTGCAGAAGGCTTCCAGTCTGGGAGGATGGTGTATGCCTGTCCTTCAACTTCAGTCTTCTGGAGGGCTTCTGCAGGGTAAAGCCACATACAAATATTAATCCTGATCACTGTCTGGCTGAGAAGACTGTGATATCCAGTTCACATTCAAGTGAACTAATGTTTATAGAACGTTGTGTAAGGTTAATTTAGGTTGGAAGAGTCCTTGTAATGTCATCTGGTCCAGAGATCAAAGATGAGCACTCCAAGCAGTTACTAATATATCCCTATACTAGCAAATAAAATGGGACAATGTCTTGGTGACGCCTCCTCACCCTACAGTGGGGGGGGTCTCCTTAGCTACGTTCCATCTGTGGAACTGAAATCCCTTTGGGACTGAACAGAGCTTTCTCTATGAAAAACACCATTTTTCTGTAGGATCTGGATTTATTTCTTCTGGCCGTGCTGAGTCAGAGCTCTCTGCCTTTGTCTGCCTTCCCATGAAGGTGGCATTTCTTGTGGCATTCTGACATCCAGGTGCTAGTGAACAGTCCCATCACTTCATTATACATTTTGATTCCTTGGCAGCACCTCCTCTAGGATTATACCCTGTATTCTCCTATAAGTGGTGTGACATTTCTGTTGAATCCAGGGAATTGATTCTTTTGTGCCTTCCACATGGTTCAGACAGGCCTTGTCTTTCTGTCAGCACAGGATTAAGCTCATCAGATGTTCTTCATAGCTGTTTATGTTAGTTTCTTTGAGATCCACAGATTTAAGAATCTTCATGCAAACACTACCCATTCAAAACTGGCTCTGCTGGACCTGTTATGAGACCACTGGGTAGACTGCCTTTGGCAGTGCGTTCCCTCAGATCCCAAGCTGCCTCAGCAATTCTGCAGAGGCACATCTTAGTCTCCCTTAGTGGAGCCACCAGCAGAGCTTGGGATCTGGGTGACTGCACTCCCAGTGCCGCTTATGGCGCAGCCCATGGCACTTCGCTCGCACTCTCAGAGAAGTTGCAGAGGGTCCCTGAGGATGGGGCCTGTGCCGCAGGCAGGCGGCACCTGTACAAGTACCTGGGACTGCAGGTTATCGCCAAGTGACACAGGGAGATGGAGTCTCTCATAGTGTGAATGCATGTGGGCCTGCAACACATGCATTCACCCAAAAACAAAAAGATTGCTGGTCAGTGACTGTTTTTTCAACATGTGTAGCCCATGTACGCGTCCCCCTCCTAGCCTCCTTCTCCCCTCCTCAGAATGTCCTCAAGGACCCTGTAGTTCGGGGTTTAGAGAGCACAAGGGCCGCTGAGCGTCAGCTGCCTGACGTGCCCAGAAATGAGGGAAGGAGACATGGCCCCTGTGGTTTCTGCTAGTGCCAACAAGCCCTTTGCCTGGAGAGGCAATGCCCCAGGCACATCCGTGCAGCAGTTCTTGGAGAGCTGCAGGTGCTGGCAAGTAGCCTTGTATTCAGTTGCTGAAAGCGCTCAGAGAAAGAGTGCCCTGTGAAGGGATCTACCTGAATGCCTGGTCTCTCAGATCAAGGTGGCTTTAGACTAAGAAATGGGCGGTGATGACTGGGACAGGCTAAGTAATCTGCTTGCTGGTTTTAGTTTAGGAAGAAGAAAATCGGATGGATGTTGACATATCTTTGCCTAAAGGAACACAGGAAAGCCAGCAAGTGGACAGATGAAAGCAACAGTAAAATAGATAGTATATTTTAAGAGGAAAGTGTGTTTTCTCTGCCTGTGAAACTGATGGTGGGCAGTAAGATAAAATTGAGATATTTGGAATACAAATGCCAGGCTCCTGAGCATAGGCAGGAAGACGCTAAACCAGCTGATTCAGTAAGTGTAGTAGCTGTTTTGAGTGAGACCATGGCAGAGTAGCACGTGTGCTCTAAGGAAAGATAGAATTAAAGGTTAAAGCTGAGGGTTGGAGTTGGATGGGATGCACAGGCTACAAATAAACAAAGACAGCACTAAAACACACACCTTTAAATTGCTTTGAAAAAGCATGATGTAAGATACTCTGTTAATTTGAGTAAAGTCTAGGGTTTTTTTGATTAAGAAGAAAAATGTAGTGAAGTAAATGGAATTGACTGTCTTCAGTGAGTTAAAAAAGAGTTGGCATTTTAAGTCAATATTTTAAATCAAAGCT